CTTGAAACTGTTAAGATTTGGGGTTTATAAATTACTTCATTTCACACCAAGAGTATTTTCTACCATAAACTGACATTCCCAGCTGTTAGAAAAGTTGATGGATCAAGCAAAGTAAAGAAATAGAAAAGAAGCCAGATAAAAAGGACAGCATGCTCTCTCAGTAGCAAAGGAAAGGGCTGATAGTGAGCTGTGATAAGGCCCACTCAAAGAACAACATACCAAGTACGCCATTACTCAACTACTGGTTTCTGGAGCCAAAAATGTGACACAACCATATATATCAGATTCCAAAAGAAGACTTGAAAACTAGCTTTTTCCTTCACAAAACAGTCCCATAAGAAGTCCTTTTTCTGACTAGTTAAGACTTTCTGAAGTATCTCAATCTACACTCTACAGAACATGCAAAACACACTTAGAAACCTCTTTACAATTTCCCTAGGCACTAGAGTGAGAGTACAGGGTTTATGGCACTTGCCTTGCATGTGGCTGACCCTGAATCCCCAGCATAGAGAACCACCATGAACACAGCCCTGAGCACAATTTGTGTGGCCCACCCCAAAACAAAACAAACCAACAACAAAAATTTCCCAGAACTTGAGAGTAACAAGAAACAGGAGTCCAAAACAGGTATAGGAGACTTCAGCACCTTAACATTCTCTATTTTCAAAGAGGCTAAAACTCAGGGCCAGACAGTACATGCCCCGTATCCAGAGATCCAGGTTTAATCCTATGGTCGCCAAGTACCTACTACCAGATGCAACCAGGAAGCCAAAAATATTTTAAATAAACCACAACAAAAAAATCCAAAGAGGAGACTAACAAAAGATAATTTATTTCATTCAAAAAACAGGGACAGAAAGGTCAAAGAGATAGTAATGGGGGTAAGGCACCTGCCTTGGCTAGTGACCAATTAATCCAGGTGTGATCCCCTGTACACTGCCAGGAGTAGTCACTCAGCACCAATAGATATGGCCCCTCCCCCCAAAAATAAGAAGAAATGTGTTAGAGGGATGTACATGTTTATAAATTGAAATTTCTGTTCATAGAATAAAATGCTGGAGTCAGACCAAGTCTCATCCCAAATTGGCCTCTGAATAGAGGAAAAGAAATCTCCCTAAGTTAGCCTCTGATTTACAATTTACATTATATTCTTGTGTGTCATCCTATTGTTGGCTAGAAAAGTGATTCAGTTTGTGCCAAGATAATTGAATATAAAATATAATATTGGCTAACATTTTCTGGTTTTGCTCTGGGGCTGAACCTAAATGTGCTCAAGGACTACTCCTGAATGTTGTGCTCAGACACTGCTTCCGGGAGTGCTTAAGGGTCATGTGGTGTGAGGATAAAACCTAAATACAAAGCACATACTTTAGTTCTTTGAGCTGTCTCCCTGGCCCTTACATTTTCCTTTTTTAAGAATTTAAAACTTCTGGAAGGTTACTCTGAGAAAAGAATGAAGAAAGCAAGGGCCTTAATAAAAAAGGGCCAGAGAGATAATATTGGTGTTAAAGGCATTTGCCTTGTATATTCTCTGGTTCCTCTGTCCCTCTTGGAGAGCCCAGCAAGCTACCGAGAGTATCTCGCCCACCCGGCAAAGCCTGGCAAGCTACCCGTGATGTATTCCACACGCCAAATACAGTAACAAATGTCACAATGTTATCGGGCCCGCTCGAGGAAATCGATGAGCAACGGGAAGATGAGGACAGTGACAGTGACAGTGATTCTCTGGTTCAATCACCAGATCATATATGGCCCCAAAGCACCACCAGGAGTGAACCCTGAGCAGAGAGCCAGGAGTAAGCCCTGAGCACTGCCAAATGTGTTCCAAAACCAAGAAAAATAATGAAATATACAGGTGGGATGGGGAATATAACTCAGCAACAGATCACTTACCTTGCCCCTCCCCGCAAAAATACACGCAAAAAACCCCCAAACTGCACAGATGTACTAATGTGAAATTATATATACATATATGTATATATGTATACACGTATATGTATATATGTGTATATGTATATATGACTTATGCACCTTATTTCCAACAGTCAAAAACTGGAAAATGTTAAGGGAGATAGCAAGGTGCTAAAGCACATGCTTTGTATGCTAGAGGCCCAGCTTCAAGCCCCAGCACTTCCTGGTCCCCAGAGCACCTACACAACCCCCTAGCCTTTCCACCAATATGTATATATTCAAAAAAATTGAGTGCCCTTCCTATTGATTTGTAAAGATCTCTAAAATACTTGTTAAATTTATAGCCCAGCGGTAGGGCGTTTGCCTTACAAGCGGCCAACATGGGCGACCCAAGTTCGATTCCTCCACCCCTCTCAGGGAGCCTGGCAAGCTACCCATGACGTATTCGATATGCCAAACACAGTAACAACGAGTCTCATGATGGAGACGTTACTGGGCCCGCTCGAGCAAATTGATGAACAACGGAGGACCGTGACTGTGACCGTGACTGATTAAAAAAAGAAAAAAACAGTTCAGTACATATGACACATTTTATACATCTTTAAATGCAGGAAATATATGTCATTACTTCTTTACACACAAATTGTCAGAAAGGATGTTTAAAACACTGTAATGTTTCCAGAGGGAAAACTAGATTGGAGGTTGGTCAAAGGAAATTAACCTACATGTATTCCCCTTTGTACATGCGAATATATGTAATCAAAAACTAGGACGATGTTTTGTACTTTTTGACTTGTTTTTGAGTCACACCTGTCAATTCTCAGGGATTACTCCTGACTCTGTGCTCAGTCACTCCTGACAGGGCTCAGTGAACTATATGGGGTGGCTGAGATTGAACGCAGGTTGGCCGTGTACAAGTATTTTTCTGTCACTGCCCCCCCACCCGCCCCAACAATGTTTCCAACTATTAAAAAAAAATAGAGGGGCTGGAACAATAGTATAGCAAGTAGGGTGTTTGCCTTGCACTAGGCCAACCTAGGTTCAATCCCTGGCACTCCATATGGTCACCTGATCACCCCCAGGAGTAAGCCATGAGCACCACTAGGTGTGGCCCCAAAACAAAAGGACAAAAAGCCCACCTCAAAAGAGATGGTCATTAAGAAATAGATAAGAAAGAATTTAAAGAAAAAAAACAATACATTATGTCCAAATCCATCTCCTCCCAGCCACTCTGCAAAGCTACTCTGTGTTACTCTTCACACAGTCTGAGCCTGGCCTGATCAAGGCAGGACCCCAGATCTTGTGCATCTTTAGAATAAGAAATTCTCTTTCTACATTCCTTAGGAAATACTGAGCTAACGATATTTATATATAGTGTTTAATACAGATGACTAAGCTAAAGAAAGTTCACATGTTACCCTTGGTATCACTGCTGAAAGTAGAGAACCAGTCTAGAAATGAAAATTAAAGAACTGGATAGAATACTGGGAATCTTAATAAAGCTTAGAAGTCCTCTATATTTTTCTGCCTTGGCCACAGGGAAGGAATTTTTTCAAAAAATGTAAAGATGAGAATATTTTATGCAAAAAACAATTCTCAGCATTCTCAACTCATATAGCACACACTTCTCACAAGGTACAAATTCATGCACAACACTAGCTTTACCCCAAATAAGTCCATACCATGCAGAACATCAAACCATGATGAAGGCTCTCCAAAAGCTACAATGCAGTTTTACAAGTCTAGAGTTAGTTGTAGCTACACCATGCAAGTTGAGAAAAGCATTATTGGTAGCCTAATAAAAACCCAAAAGATGAGGAAACAATTTTTTTGAAGGTTAAGCCAAAATTAGATGTATATTGTTCTGGGGGAATGGGGGAAAGCTAACGTTCCTAAATTTGAAAGAAATCACGTTCTGAATTTTATTCCAGTTGAAACTTGACTGGTTACAATCAAAAAGAACAGAATTATGAAGCATCCTACATGGGCAAATTTTGGGGACTGGCCATAGCTGTAGTTGTTTCATGGACAAAAGACTGTCCAAAACTAACCACAGGCCCATGTGGGCCAATGGCTTTCAGCAACTGGTAAGAGCTGTGGCTGCCTCACTGGAAGATCACCTTCTACTACCAGAAACACAAAGTCTGTCTGCCAATGCAGGTCACAAGCTACCTCAAAATAGCAGACCATTTTCATCTAATTCCAACTAATTTGGATGTAAAGATCACCAGCACAAGTTACATGTTAACAAAACAAAACAAAACAAAACAAAACAAAAATCCATCTCTTTTTAACCCAACCCCTTCAATTTGCAGCTAGTCATAGAATCATTTTCCCCTGTACATTCTTTTTTTCTTTGGGGAGGGGGAAGGGTCAAAATTATATACGGGTGATGTTCAGGAGACCATATAGTGCTGGGGATCAAACCCAGGGCTCCTGCTTTGCCCTCCCATATACTTAAAATAATGACCAAAGGGCTGGAGCGATAGCACAGCGGTAGGGCGTTTGCCTTACAAGTGGCCAACATAGCCAACCCGAGTTCGATTCCTCTGCCCCTCTTGGAGAGCCCAGCAAGCTACTGAGAGTATCTCGCCCGCACGGCAGAGTCTGGCAAGCTCCCTGTGACGTATTCGATATGCCAAACACAGTAACAACAAAGTCTCCAATGGAGACGTTACTGGGCCCACTCGATCAAATCGATGAACAACGGGAGGGCCTTCACCTTTACCTTAATGATCAAAAATTGACTGTAAACTTTACATGTAAGAGGGACACACACCAAAAAAATCAAGGTTGGTGATAGGCACCTGCTCAATAATTTGTATCTTGAAATTAAACTGCCCCTAAAGCTCAAAGTTTAGAGCTGTGAAAATAGGTGGCAACCAAGTAACCATTCTTTTCAAGCGGGACAAAAGGCATGCCTTGGGTACAGTATACACAATTAGCAGTTACAGATTTTCATGCCAACAAACCAACGATTAATGGGGATTATTTGAATCTGGATAGAATCAAAGCACAAGCTCTTTGCCTTTTTGGATGATGCCTCCAAAAGCTATAAGCACACACATCTCCCCATGGCAGGTTCATACCACTGAACTTCAGCTGCCTGGATCTCTCACGTTCCTGGACTGTGGGCTTTGGCAAAATTGGAGCAAGGCCTCGGACTTTGGTAGGTCTCATATAGCCTTTCATTGGTTCGGCTGTTCTGCTTTTATCTCCCTTCTTCCCTTCTCCCAGTGTCTTTGGTTCAGATTTTCCCGTGATTTTCTCAGGTGCTTCCACAATGTCATCTCTGGTCTCTGGGAGCTGAAGATCCTCAGAAGCAGTCACTACTGATTTATCTACCCCTCTCAAAGGAGGAGCTTCTGATTCACCATCTAAGAAACCTGAGTGGAGTTCTGGAGCTATTGATTGTGACTGTTGTAGTTCTGTGACTGTATTAACTTCTTCCAATCCAGCCCTTTCATTTTGGGGACGTGAAAGAGTCTTATCTATCTTCTTACTCAAACTTTCTAGGTCCTTGGAATCTCTATCTTCAGCATTTTGGTCCTCACAGAAATCAGGCTTTTGTGCTTTGTCTCCCAATACAGACATTTCCTTGGATTCTTTCTTTTTCTCTGCTGAATAAGCTGGAAAATTACTCATATCTGGGCAAGCTTCGAGGACTCTGACCTCACCAGGCAGCCTTTGGTCTTCTATTGGGACTCCAGAAACAAGGTGCCCCTTTGTTGGCTCTGTATTTTTCTCTACTGACAGCTTACATGCACCACTGCACACTGACTCAATTTCTCCTAATACATGTTTTACTTCTATCTCAGTTTCATTTTTTATGGGCTCAGTAAAATTACCTTTATTACTCAAACAGTTATTTCCAAGATGAACTGCTTCTATAGCTGCTGTTGAAGCTAAGGCACCTCCTCCTGTGTTTGTGGAGGGCATAACCTCAGAGGGAGCCTTGGATTTATCTGGGACTCCATCTTTGCTACAATTATCTACCATTGTTAAGTTAGAAGTCTGGGGTGGAACTGTGCCCTGCCCGATTTCTGCCAAGGTCTCTGGAAAGAAATCACTTTCCTTTACTACTTGAGGTATTGAAGCAGGTGTTTTTTCACTGGCTGCTAACTCCAGAACCTCTCCAAGGGTGTGCTTATTTATTAACCCTGGTGGCGTTCTGGGGCAGGTGAATGTAATGTTTCTATTTTCATCCATATAGCCAATTCCTTCAAGTCTGTGGTCCCCTGTGGTTTCCATGGGAACATGTATTTTTGTTGCTTCTGTCTTACTCTCCAGAATATGCTTCTCAGGAAAACTATTTTTAACCTTTTTACTTTTTCTATCATTACTCCTTTTATTTGGTTTGTCAGCCAATGCAGTGTGTCCCGTGGCTACATCTGTCTTATTGTCCTCAGACAGTCCTGAAGGAACATACCCTTCCTCCTCAATCTGTTCTTGGCAGCTCACATCTGTCACCTTGGTAGCTGGTTCTGTAACAGTAGAATCCTTGACTGTGTGTATTTGGTCCCTGCCAAGAGCCCCAAGCACAACAGAATTAACCTCAACGTTTCTATCCTTTTGGTCAACTACTTTCATTGTGGGTGTTTCTGAATGCAAAGGATCATGAGTTATGGGGAAAGTGAGCCCTAACTCCTTGTTTTGAGTATCTCCATCTTTACCTATAGAAGGTGAGTTGAGGATTTCTTCCCTGTTGTCCTGTCTAGCAGAGTATGTGGAATAGTTATTTTTAAACTTTTTGTTTTTGTTTTCACTGCCTCTTTTTTTAGGCTTTTCAGAAATCGGGGGTACTGCCTCATGATCCATCCAAGGACACTTTCCTTCCTTACTCTGGTTACTGATCTTTGTATCTATACTTACTGCTCCATCTTTTGTTCTCGCACTAAAAATCTCAGTGAAGCCTGACCCACTTCCTAAAGGAACCAATGCTTGCAAGGTGTCTGCCGCCCTAGTATCAGAAGTCTCCTTCAGCTCCACCACCACCCCTCCCTCAACAAGGTCAGTTCTGACCCCTGGTTGCTTTGAAGAATCCAGCCCAAGCTCCTCACTTTTATTCCCAGTAGCCATTCTTTCGCTTTTAGGGATCGGTTCACTTGGCAAAAGAACAACCTTGCCATCTTTCTGGCTGTCCTGAAGTAATGGCAACTCAGATCTTACTCTCCCCTTTCCAGAACTTGCTCTGGCTTTCCCAGAACTTCCTTTGCCCTTCTTGCTTTTGCCATCACCTGTGATTCTCTTCAATGTTTCGTTCCCTGGCCCGGGTGCCTGAACTAACACCTTGTCCTGCAGCTGCTCAGGAGCAAAGATTTCAATTTCTTGCTTTAATAAAGTTTCCTTTTTCTGTTCTCTAACTTCCTCAGTCCCTTCAGAGAGCCCTTTGTGTTTGTCATTCTGCACTTTAATCATTTTAGTCTCATCATTCACTTCATTTACATTACCTTCTGAAGGACTGCTGGCTGTCATTGTGGATGTGAAATTAGGCAAATCTGCTGCTGTGGGTTTTGAAATTCTACCCACAGCCTCTTTATCCAAGACAGGAGGACAGCTATCTTTGGGTATGACTGCCAAAGGACTTTCTTTGTGGGCAAAAACTTCGGTCAGGGGTCTTTCCAAATTAAGAGAACCTGTTGTCTGGTTTTTATCTAGAGTCCTCGGGTGGGGTGCAGGCTGTGATTTGCATTCATCTTGTTGTAGTGTTTTGTTGCCTTGGCTCTGTGGCTCTGATTTATTTCCTCTGCCTTCTGCATCTTCTCTCAGCTTAGGCTGAGAATTTACAGCAATTTTGGGGGGTGCTTCTGAAGGACACAAAGGGATGGTCAGACTTTCTGAGGCCAAGTTAACAGTTACTAGTTGGGCTGCTTTGGAGTCAACTACACTTTCCTTTTCCAAACTTCCTCTGGATTCCATTCCACATTCTGTGCCCACTACAGACGACTGGTTGGGAAGGATATCTAATTTCTGTGAGTCAGGTAAAAAGGGATGACCTTTAGGCTTGTCAGCACTGTCATCATTATATGGTCCTCCAGCCCAGGGCTGAGGATATCTCTTCTGCTTTGGTTTCTTCTTTTTCTTCTTCATCATCATTGGTGTGCTTTCAGTGTCCCAGGCCTCCCTGCCAAGATCTCTCTGGGATTCAGGGAAGCCAACAGGAATAGTTTTCCTTTGGACTCCAGGCTCAACCCAGGAAGATGAACCAGAGACCCAACTCAACTCAGACAAGGAACTGGCGCCCAGCCCAGGGTCGAGAGTCTTCTGTGGAGAAGAGCCTCCTAGCAGCTCAGGAGGGACCCTGGAAGGCCTGGACCGGGAAGACCGGCGGTCAGCAGGTCTGTACACTTGTTTGGCTTGTTTGGGAAGGGTACCTGCAATACATGAAGTTGGCTAAAATTCCAAATAGAAAGCTCCTTGCTATTGTTTCTTTAAAAAGACATCCACCTAGTGACTCATTTATCTATTTTCACCAACCCACATACTATCTCATTTAGAAAAACAGTTTTTTCCAAACATTTCTCACCCTTAAATAGAATTAGCATATATTTAAAAAAGATCATCATTCTAGCCATAAGTTTTTTAAAAACTGTATTAAACTGCTTGAAACTAGAGTAAAGAAATTCAAAGAGAGATCTTACATAGCCTTTATGATGAGAACTTAATGCCTATAAAGATTAATTACTTGGAATTAAATTTAATTAGGGTTTTTTCATTGGGAAAGTTTCAGGAAGTCAATTGATCTAATCTCTTTCTGCCTCCAAGTCATTACAATATGGATCCAATATTAATGCCTATAAATATTCATATTTTGCATTATTTTTAACAGATACACCATTCCTATTCTACAGCAAGATGGCAAGTTCCTATCACTTATGTTGTATTTGTTAAGTGACTGAAATATATATATAAGTTTGGGCAGAATTTTAAATTCTAAGAGTATATCACCAAAGTTATACTAAATATTTGCTAAACTAAGCAGATTGATTCTGATAAATAGACCAGAAGGCTAGATTTATAATAGTGTTTTAAAAAGAAACATTACAAACAAACAAAAAAAAAAAGGAAAAATTACTCAATTAGTATTTTGGCCAAGGGAAAATGCTCATCATCCCAGAACCAGAGTATCCTATTTCAAAAGACCAGTGTCTTAGATTTCAAAGTTCTGTTCTTAAATATACTTTCCAAAAGACACAGAAATACACATAAGATCACTTAGTGTAATGAGTTAAAACAATCAAGATTAATTACTTGGAATTAAATTTAATTAGGGTTTTTTCATTGGGAAAGTTTCAGGAAGTCAATTGATCTAATCTCTTTCTGCCTCCAAGTCATTACAATATGGATCCAAGATCCTGGAAAAAGTCTCATTAATAGCAGGTCTAAAATAGCTCTTGCTAAATCTAATCCAATGAAGCAATTTCAAAGAGATACTGAAATATTTTTTTACCCTTTTAAGTATCCTAAAAATCCTTTTAGTTTTTGGGCCACACCCAACAAAGCTCAGACCTTACCCCTAGCTCTGTACTCAGGAATTACTGTTTTCGGGGGACAACATGGAATGCCAGGGATCAAATCTGGGTTGGACATGTGCAAGGCAAGTGCCCTACCCATTGATACATCGCTCTGGACACCAAAATCCTACTTTTTACTTAAGACCCCAAATCCATTTTCTCTCAAAAATACCCAAAAAACCCCAAAATGAAACAAACAAACAAAAAAAAACACTGCTAATTTTAGCAACCTATAATGTTTACAGATGATTTAGTTTGTCAATTAGCAGCCATTTGGTGCCATCTTTTATACTATTTTATTCAATTATTACATAAGTCTTTGAACTTAAGAGTTTTTGGGTATTTGATCACTGTATAATTGAAACCCAAGCACAAAAATTTGTAAGTCTACAACTGCACCTCATGGTGTTTCACTAATAAAAATTAATTAAAAAAAAAGTTTTTGGGAACATGCAGGTTATAAAACTAGACAAAGGACCCAGACTTAATGATTATATACCTTTGTATAGTACATTTTGCATATAAAAAGAAGTTGGCAAATTTTTACTAATATATTTGGACACTAAAACATTAGAAAATATCAAACACTTCCTATTTGGTACTAGATAGTGCACCCAATAGAACACTACAAACAGTTAAGAAATCAAAGTCCTTCAAGTGCACAAGTCTAATCACAAAAAAGAAACCAGAGAATTGCTAGTTCACGATCCTATGCATACACCACACCTGACAACCTTAGCATCAAAAACACATCAAGTTCATTAAATGGTCAAACTTTAAGTTAGAGAACACCTTAGAGCAGTGCCTCCTAAAGTTTAACACAGATTAAGAATTATCTGGGGAATTTATTAAAACGTGTATGATTCTGAAGGATAAAGGTAGAGCCCAAGATTTTGCATTTCTAGTAACTCTAAGGCAATGCTGCTGAGCCATGAAATAGACTGGAACTAGCCAGTATTCACAGTATGCAGTATGATAAATTCATTCATCTTACATATCAGCATTTCTCACTGAGTGCCTTTTGGCCCTCTGTGGTCCCCCAGTGTATTTCAAGGGGGCCACACATGAAAATTGTATAAAGGAAGGCATGAGACTAACGGGGTACATAGTAGGACTGGGGGGAGGGGATGATGGAAAGGAAACAAGATCAGGAGGTGGCCATGATTGGGAAAAGGTTGAGAAACACTATTATAGCTGCGTAAACTGAGCTATAAGTCAATAATCTGCCTAACTGTGCAGGACAGAACAATAAAAAGTAATTAAAATTTAGACGTTCTAAGTTGACACAGTGCTAATTTTTAAAAAAAAGTAACAAGCAAATTTTTACATCTCTCCTTTAAATCGATCCATCCTGATTCCCAGTTTCAAAGATTGTCCTGTTTTCCCAACTTACCTAAAATCTCTGAAGAAAGTTCAGAAGGTCGACTACTAGATTGCTTCTCTTGCTCTACTTTCTCTAACACAGAATCCTCATCTGTTGGCAAGTTGTACTTTTGGCCCATGGTTTTTGCTGGTTCTAAAGGTAAGAGTAAACATCACAAAGGGGTCAGAGAAGCATGATATCAGTTATTTCTCCATTTTGAAGAAAGTGAAAATGAGAACTTTTTGAGGAATGAGCCATGCTCCTATGAGGGGAGCAGAGAAATTGGAAGGAAGGAGGAACAGAGTAATGTTGACAGGGACTTCCCTCCTAGGTAGGAAAATGCTAGTTGGTAGAAACAATAAAAGGAGTGTAAATAGTAAAGGTAAAAAAGGGGAGAAAAGTTAGAGCAATGAACTTAAACAGGCAAGAGAGGTAGACTGAGTTAAAATACAGACTGGCTTTAATCACAAGCAGGGGTAATTTACTCAAAGTAATGGAAGGGATGACTCCTGATAGAAACAGACACACATAGTTAGGTAGATGAGGCAGTGGAAGTTTGAAAATTTTCTCTTTCATTGCCTCAATTATGTTAGGGGGAAAAAAAAAGCAAGATAAGAAGAGCACAAGAATAGGGTTGTTGACGGAGGGTCAAAGTGAGAATGAGTTGCTCAAGCGTAGAACTGTATATAGACTTGCAAAGTACAGTGTGATTACTTTACTTGGAAGACAATGGTCACTTTTCCTTCTGAAGAACACATCTGATAGGCAGAAATATAGACTATGTGTAATCCATACCTGGTGAAATCATGGAAGCAGGTGAAGCTGGCTGTTTCTTGTCCTGGAGAGATTCTAACTGGGAATCCTCACTGATTTCTTCCTGTGTCTGTATAATTTCCATGTTCTTAACGGGAACTGGTGCCACCTCTCTTTCTTCAGGTGGTGAAACATCTTTGGCAGGAGTCAAGTCATTGGCCACGGTCACTTCTGTTTCGGTCACTTCTGTTTCAGAGGGCAGAGCCACACTCTTAGCCAGGATCACCTCTGTTTGTGGTGGAAGAGGCACATCTTCGTCCAGAACCGTTATTGTTTCTTGGGGTGGAGCCGCCTCCTGGCCCACAGCCACCTCTGTTACTTGGGGTGGAGCCACATCCTGGCCCACAGCCATTTCTGTTACTTGTGGTGGTGCCACATGCTTTCCTAGAAATATCTCTGTTTCTTGGGATGGGGACACGTCTTTGTCCAGAGTCATTTCTAGAGATGGGGCCATCTCCTTAATGGAGGATACTTCTGTTTCTGGGGGCAGTGTCATATGATCTGTTATGTTAAGTTCTGTGTTTGAGGATAAGGCCACATCCCCTGTTAAGGATATTTCAGTGGATGAAACAATGTCCTTAGCCAGTGCCATATCTATTTCTGAGAGTGATACTTCACCCTTAGGTGGGGTCATGCCACTGTCTGTGGGTGGTACTATGCCCTCAGCTGGGGTCAAATCTGTATTTATAGGTGGTTCCCTCTCTGTTTCTTTGAATAGTATTATGTCCTTGGCTGGCGCTACGTCTGTTTCTGTGGGCAGTAAAGTGTCCTTGGCTGGAGACACATTTATTTCTGTGGGCAATACGACATCCTGATCTGCAAACTCCTCTGATTCTCTGGGCAGTATCATGTCCTGGACAAGAGTCATATTTGATTCAACAGATGATTCCATGTCCATGGCCAGTGCCCCATCTGATTCAGTAAGTGATTTCATGTCTTTAGTCAATGTCACCTCAGCTTCTGGAGCTGGTGCCGTATCCTTGGCTGGAGCTGTATCCTTGGCTGGAGTCATCTCTGCTGATGGTGCCTTCAATCCCATCATTATGTCCAACGCTTCTGTTGGAGCCTTCTCTTCTGATGCTATTTCTACATCCTCAGCTGGCACTAAGGGAAATAAATAAGTATGGAAATTTAGGGACGACAACTACCTTTTTATGGCTCCATATTCAAAACTTAGTAGCTGATCTAAGGGCTGGAGTACAGGCTTTGCATAAGGAAGACTAGGTTCAATTTCCAGAACAGCATGGTCCCTTGAACACCATCCCAGTGGTTTATCTCTCCACCCCTTGAAATTCACAGGATTTTATTTGGTTTTTGTTTGCTTTTGGTCCACATCCAGTAAAGCATAGGGGTTACTCCTGACTCTGCCCTGAGGAATCACTCCTGATGGTGCACCATGTGGGATGCAGGGATTGAACTCAGGTATGCAGTGTGCAAGGCAAGCACCCTATCCACTGTACTGTATCTCCAGCCCCCCAAATTCACAGGATTTTAAAAAAAAGCAACACATATGTATCATTAATATCAGGAAAAGAATGTGTGCATCATCAAGGAAAAAAAAAAAAGCCCAGAATTCTCAATCTGCACTGAGTTAAAGGATTTTCTAGGGCCAGAGAGTCAGTGCGGGGATTAAGGTGCATGCCATGCCTTGCATGTGGCAGACTGATTTGATCCATTCTGAGCACCACACAGTCCCATGAGCATTATTGGATGTGACCCTGGAGGTCCCCAGCATCAACTGGGTGACTCAGGTAATAAGTAACACTACAGGAGGGCCTTTGCAGTAAATGTGTTCTCAGGTCCTGACTTCAGACTATTGGCTCAGTTGACAGAGAATCACTGGAGGGTCCCCCAGGACTCCTAAATACTAGGAGTATTCTCCTAACTCCCCCACATTTTTTCTTGCATATGCCAAATATTTTAAGTAACATTAATATTAAAGTAATATTTAAGTAATATTTTAGTGAACAGAATTGATTTTTGACCTTTGCCGGGGATCATAAAACATGCGGTTGTCAAGATCACTGCAGTGGGTGACTTAAATTCATGGCTTCATGCTCGCCTTCACTGTTTTTTAAGCGACTAACCTATCTTCTGGGCCCTTTTTGGCCATGGATCTCCATACAGCAAAGTCCTCAGGGTTGCCTGGTGCATGTTGGTGGACTGGTGGCATCAGGCTTTGAACTTCTAGCATGAAGCTGTCCAGGTAAGTGCTTTTGCACTAAGCCACCTTCTGGCCTCAGGTAGGGGTGTGTGTGTGTGTGTGTGTGTGTGTGTGTGTGTGTGTGTGTATGTATGTGTCTGTGTGGATTGGGCAATACCTGACAGTACTGAGGACCTAGTACCTGGCTTTGATTCCCCAAATTAACATATTACAAGACTCATTTCACAATATTTTTGATATATAAAAAATCATAGAGAAAAATATATAAACATAGAGCCCAGCAAGTTACTGAGAGTGTCCCGCCTGCACGGGCAGAGCCTGACAAGCTCCCCATGGCATATTCGATATGCCAAATACAGCAACGGCAACAGGTCTCATTTCCCTGACCCTAAAAGAACCTCCAATCATTGGAAAAAGATGAATAAGAGAGGTTACTAAAACCCCAGGGCTGGGTAGAATAGAGACATTACTGGCACCCGCTCGAGTAATTCAACGATTAATGGAATGACAGTGATACAGTGATGCCAAACATTACATTTCAACTATTCTCCAAACACGAAATCAGTAATTCATACTCAAAAATATTTGTGACAGATATGAAATTCTTCTTTTTTAGAAGATCACTTTATTTTATTTTGGGATTATGGGGACACCCCACAGCACACTGGGGCTAATTCTGGTTCAAGAGTGATCCTTGGCAGTACTCAGGGGATCATATGTGGTACAAAAGATCAAACCAGGGTCATTACCAAAGCAGCCATATGCAAGGCAAATGCCTTACCTCATGTACTATCTCTCTGGTCCTTTTTTTTAAAAAAAAAATCATTATTTTTTTATTAGTGAAACACCATGAGGTCTCTCTCTCTCTCTCCTCTCTCTCTCTCTCTCTCTCTCTCTCTCTCTCTCTTTCTCTCTCTCCTCTCTCTCTCTCCCCCTCTCCTTTTGGGTTCTGTGTTCTGCAAGAGAGGCATTGAGTGGCAATCATGTTTGGTCTATAGTCTACTTTCAGCATGCTTCTCCCATCCTGGGAGGATCCTCCCAACACCCTTTATTTGGTGCTCCCTTCTCTATCTGAGCTTCCCTTTCCCCCAGCAAGTATGGCTGGCCTCCAAGTCAGGGAGCAAAATTCCTGGTACTAATCTCGGCCACTCTTGGGTGTTAGTCTCCTATTTTATTACTTTATGTTCCCCAGATGAATGCAATCTTTCTGTGTCTATCCGGCTCTTTCTGACTCATTTCGCTTAACATGATACTTTCCATGTAGTACCACTTATATGTAAATTTCATGACTTCATCTTTTCTAACAGCTACATTCTCTGGTCCTTTTTAATAGTATCTATACAAAGGGGCTGGAGCAATAGCACAGTGGGTAGGGTGTTTGCCTTGCACGCAGCCAACCTGAGTTCGATTCCCAGCATCCCATATGGTCCCCCGAGCACCACCAGGAGTAATTCCTGAGTGCATGAGCCAGGAGTAACCCCTGTGCATCACCGGGTGTGACCCAAAGAGCAAAAAAAAAAAAAAGTATCTACACAAAGCAGAACTCTGTGTTCAAGAATCACAACCAAAGGTACTGGGTGGACACTAGGGGTAATATAGTGCCAGGGATCAGATGCAGGCCTTTCACATACCCATGTGTTCTATCACTTGACCTAAATATATATCCCAGTCCAGCTGTGAAACTTTAACCTGTACTATTACTGACTGCTAAAATATAAGCTTGATAATTTTTATTAGCTAATACTGCAACCATTAACTAATGAAGAGAAGTTTTGTGTCACTTACCTGCTGTGGGCTGAAGACGTTGTGGGGAAATGACAGATTCTGAAAGTGGAGAGTTTGGGGCCTCCACAGGCCAGCCCGGAGTTTCAACAGTTGCGGGAGAAAATGTATCACAGGGAAACAGACCTAATATTGAAATACAAACAAAAACATTTTTGAAACTTGGTTAACATTGAGGGAATAAAAGAAATCTAACATTGAAATCAGTTGTATATATTTTATAAATGCATAATGGAGCGATAGCACAGCAGTAGGGCGCTTGCCTTGCACACAGCCAACATGGCCGACCTGAGTTCGATTCCTCCGCCCCTCTCGGAGAGCCCAGCAAGTTACCGAGAGTATCTTGCCTGCAGGGCAGAGCCTGGCAAGCCACCCGTGATGTAGTCGATATGCCAAACACAGTAACAACAAAATCTCCAATGGAGACGTTACTGGGCCTGCTCGAGCAAATCGATGAACAACGGGAGGGCCTTTACCTTTTACCTTTAAATGCATACTGACCTAAAAACTAATGTAAACACTACTGGCACCTTCAAGTTTTGACAGCTACCATGTTGTCATTGATAGCTACCATGTTGTTGTCAATAATAGTCTTCAATTATTATTATATGCTTTGAACTGGCAGAGGGACAAAGCCACGCGGGTTCCGGGGCCGAGATCTCCAAGCCTACTCGGATTGGAGTCGAGCATCCTCCACCCAGATCCTCCAAATTCCAGTAGGCGAGGGTCACACCCACCACCTGGCCCCCTGGCACCGTGTGTGTAATCCTATCAACGGCCAAGACTCAGAGACTATAAAATCCAGCTCCTGGAACCGCTTATCAGGACATCTTATCAGGACATCTTTTTATGACATCTTACTATCTCATTCCTACTTTGGACAAACTTGCAGGCTACCCACAGGGCAGCGTCTGGCAAACTCCCCGTGGCGTACCAAATATGCCAAATACCAGTAACAATGATGGGTCTCATTCTCCTAAAGAGCCTTGAATATAATCTCAGGGCTAGGATGAAAGAGACGTTACTGGGGCCTGCTCGAGGCAATCGACGAATAACAGGATGATGAATGAATGAATGAAAATGAACTACACATGGCGGAGCTTAGGGCTTACTACTAGCTCTGAGTTCAGGGATCACTTCTGGTGGGCTCGGGGAACCACATGGGATGCTGAGAATTGAACCCGGGTTGGCTGCACGCAAGGCAGAGTCCTATCCAATACCCTTTCTCTCCAAATCCTACCAATATTAACACCTCCTTTTCCAATATTAGAGGATAATTTAGTGAAAATATTATGTAAAAAGTTGGGGAGACAAGCTGAATGAACTGACATATCCTTTGCAAGTGAAGCACAAGTCTGAGCCCTGGCATGATACAGTTCCCTGCCCCGACAATTTCTGGTAGCAACCCCTAAACATTTCCTGGTATGGTCCTAAGAACCAAAACAAAAAAAGTGTCTTTTAAATTAATTTAACAAATAAAAGAGTGAGTGTGCGTGTGTATGTGTGTTTGCATGCACACACGCACATGTGTATTTTACTTGCATATTATATCAGGGGCTACTTCCAGAATTTTGCTTGGGTACCATGAATTCTAATCATCCATATCAAGAGAGGGGTTCGGCAGGGTGATACCATTTCACCAAAACTCTTCAGTGCCACCCTCGAGAACATCATGCGACGACTAGAATGGGAAAACATGGGAGTGAAGATAGATGGTCGGCAACTACACCACCTCCGCTTTGCTGATGACATCGTTCTAATAACACCAAACATCAGCCAAGCGGCACAAATGCTTGCGGACTTTGACCGTGAGTGTGGAAAGGTCGGACTACAGCTGAATCTTACGAAGACAATGTTTATGAGAAACAGCCTTGTTCCTGACGCTCCATTCGCTCTCAACGGAACCACCATCTCCGAATGCAACAGTTATATATACTTAGGTCGAGAAATCAACATGATGAATGACCTGGCACCTGAGTTACGCAGGAGGAAGAGAGCGGCTTGGAATGCCTTCAAGAGCATTGAAGAAATAACTAAAAGGATAAAGAACCTCCAGCTACGAGCACATCTCTTTGATTCCACTATTCTTCCTGCATTAACATATGCCTCAGAGACCTGGACCCTACGAAAACAGGATGAGAACACTATTCGGGTCTCTCAAAGAGGAATCAAAAGAACTATGCTTGGAATATCACGATTCACTCAAATGAGAGATAGAATCCGGAGTTCTGATCTTCGTCAACGCTCAAGAATCAGGGACGCTGTCTCATTTGCCAAGACATCAAAAATCAGATGGGCTGGACATGTAATGAGGTTTACAGACAACCGCTGGACTAGAGCCATTACTGATTGGATTCCACGAGACATCAAAAGATCACGTGGACGCCCACCTATAAGATGGTCAGACTTCTTCGTCAAAACCCTAAATGATCGGTTTGAGGCTCTACATGTTCCTAAAACGAACAGATACCATTGGGCTACGCTAGCACGCAACCGGGATGAATGGAGACGTTACTGGCACCCGCTCGAATAAATCGATGAATAACGGGGATTAAGTGAAGTGATTAAGTGACCATGAATTCTGGGGATTGAATCTAGACTTGCATACCAAGCATGCACTGTAGTCCACTGAGCTATGTCCTCATCCCAGGATTTCACAAATATAACAGAATTATTATTAAAGGCCAGGGAACATAGCTCAAGGTTTAGAGCATATGCTGTTAAGTGTCAGGTCAGAGTTTGGGGGAAATTTGCTGATTTTGTTTTGAGGTCACAACAGGCAGTGCTTGGGACTTACCCCTGGAATCACCCCTGGCAGGACCTGAGATCAAACCTGGTACAGCTCCATGCAAGGCAAGTGCCCTACCACTGTATAATCTCTCTGGCCTGAAGCCCAGGGTTTGATCTTTGGCACTACATAATGCAAAGTGGGAGCACTACTGAGTATAATAACCTCATAAACATTTCTTGGACGGTCACACCCAGTAGTGCTCAGGGGCTACTGTAGGTGCTGCAGGTGGAGGGATGGTAGATTCCCTCCTTGTGGTACTTGAAGGATAATGTGATACTTAGAAACAAATCCAGGCCTCCTGCATGCAAAGCATGCTTTGCTTAAGTTTTTTCTCTGGCCCACAATTTAAATTTTTGATATTTGGGTCAAACCCAACAGGGTTTAAGAGCTTTGGATGGTGGTGAGATTTGATCCTGGCACCACTCTAGTGACCATGTGGTGCGAAGGATCAAATTCTGAGCAACTGCAGGTACCCCAGTCCTCTGTGTTGTCCCCAGCCTCATAAGCAATTTTTTTTAAAGAGTTTTAATGGGGCTGGAGAGATAGTACAACAGGTAGGGAGTTTGTTTTGCAGGCAGCCAACCTGGGTTCAGTCCCTGACATCCCATATGGTTCCCCAAGCACAGGCAGGAGTAATTCCTGAGTACAGAGCCAGAAGTAACCCCTGACCATTTCTGATGTGGCCCAAAGAACAAAAACAAAAAGTGCTGTAACACCCCAACCTGTGCCAGTAACTGAACCCAGGTTTAATGTATAAAAGGCATGCTTCTTACCACTGAGCCACATCATCAGGCCTAAAAATGATTTTTCATCATGCTCTCACTCTGCCAGACACAATAGGCAATCCAACGTCACCTGTTTTTTGCCATCAAGATTATTACAATTTAGAGAGGCTAGACAGACATAATTAAATAATGGAAACTGTAGCCTGGACTAAGTGCTTTAAGAGATTAAAACACCATGAGAGTCAGAATAGCCAGAAAAGACTTCACAGAAAAAACAGCAACAAGTAGGTAGAGAACAGAGAGTAGTCAGGTTTAAGATGTAGAGCAGTGAACACTGCAAAGCGCAAAATGATGATGCCAACAGGACAAGAATGTTCCTAGCACTAAAATACTAGTTTGATTCAAATAGATCCTGCATACCAGAGGGAAACTTGGAGTAGAATAGACAATGAAAGAAAGATCTAGAAAAGCAGGAGGAATTCATGGGGTTGGAGAGTACAATGGGTATAGCACTTGCCTTGCATGTACCCAACCTGGGTTCAATCCCTGGCACTCCATGTGGTCCCCAAGCCCTTCCAGGAGTAATCCCTGGGCGCTAGGGGTAAGCCTGGGCACAGCTGGGTGTGCCTCTCCCCACTCAAAAAAAAAAAAAAAAGGAAAAAATTTAGATTGAACTGAAAAATGTGATTTCCCTTAAGGTCTTAAGATATTGACTAAAGCAGGGACTTAAAATGATTAATATAGTAGGCATATTTAGACCAAAACTTTTATTACTGTTATGGGTGGGGGGTACTCCCTACAGTACTCTGGGGCCCAGGGATATTCCAAGAAGTGCCAAAGGGGTCTTCAGTGCTAGGGATCAAAGTCAGTGCCTCACATATGCAAGGCAAATACTTTACTATTGAAGCCACATTCCCAGACCCCAGGATAATTTTGTTTCATTGTTTTTGGGCTACATCTGGTAGTACTCAGGGGAAAGTACTACTTGGCAAAGCTCTGAGGACCATCTGGTGCTGAGGATCAGACCGAGGCTTCCTGCATGCAAAGTATGCACTCCAGTCCAATGAGGTTTCTCCCAAGCTCCAGAGTGAATTTTATTCTTTTCTTTGGAAGGGAGCTATATCCAGTGTTCAGCAACTTCTGGCTGCAATGTCAAAGATCACATCCAGGGTTCCTACGTGTATAACACACATGCACTAGTCCATTAAGCTATAGTTCCAGACGAATTTTAAAAGAAACTAGGGATCTGGGCATGAAATGTGGCTCAGTGGCAGAGCACTTGTCTTGATGTGTGAGGTCCTGGGTTCAATTCACAACACAAGATTAAAAAATTAAAAATAAATAAGAGGTAAGAGGGATCTGTTAGTAGACTACTAGAAGTGGTTTGGGTATAAATGAAATGATAGTTTATATTAGAGAAAAGCAGAAAGAGCATAAAAGAGAAAAAAGATACGATAGAGACATCAAAGCAAATAAACAATTAACTAGTGAGTGAGCGCAAAAACAGGAATCAATGCTAAAACCAAAGTGTCTGAAGAATGTTGGAGAGAGAGTACAGGGCTAAGGTGCTTGCCTTGCATCAAGCAGATCCGGGGTGTGGCAGAGGATGGGGGTGGGTGCGGGGAACCTAAGGACTACAAATACAAGTAACAAACCAACAAATGACAGGAGATTCTCTTCTTAGAGGTTCTTCAGTATAAAGAAGAATAGCACAAATGAGACACAAACTCTGTAAAATCTCCCCCCTTCTCCCTAAAAGTATATGTTTTCCTTTTCCTAAAGACATTCTTAAGCCCAGAGCACATGCAGAATATGCCAACAAACCTAACTCAGTTCGTTCCCATTGGTTCCCATAGCATGCTACTTTGAGAAGCCGCAAATGGTTTCTTTTTATTTTGCTGTTTTGCTACAAATTTATTGTTCTTTATGTAGGATATAAAATAAGCTAAAATTCTAAGCTCCCACTTTGAACTACTTTCAAACTCCAAGTAATATATACTGCATGCACTGGTAATTTTTCCCCCTTTTTTGGGTACTTGAGTCACAGTTAGTGGTGCTCAGGGGACCCATACAATGCCAGGGATTAACCCAGGCCTTCTGCATACAAAGTATATGTCCTAGCCTTTTTTTTTTTTTTGGTTTTTGGTTTTTTGTTTTTTGGGTCACACCCGGCGATGCTCGGGGGTTACTCCTGGCTCTGCACTCAGGAATTACTCCTGGAGGTGCTCGGGGGACCATATGGGATGCTGGGAATCGAACCCTGGTCGGCCATATTGGCTGCGTGCAAGGCAAGCACCCTACCCGCTGTGCTATCGCTCCAGCCCCTGTCCTAGCCTTTTGAGCTATCTCCATATTCCCATTTTGTTCTCTGTTGATCTGGATTTCTGTTAGACAGCTCTGCCTGAAAACACAGTGTGAGTAAAAGTTAAATTCTGCTTTTGCTAAGATGCCAGGCTATCTTCATATTAAAAGTTATACAAACCTAGGAATATGGATACTGCAAGCTGACAAGTAAGATTTGCTTAGGCCTCAGGGAGACAGTATATCTGGTCACCAAAAAAGGGCTGAGGAATAAATTTAGGGCTGAGAATGTAGCTCAAGTGCTGCAAGGGCCTGGGCTTAATCCCTTGGCTCCTGGGTACCATCTGAGAATGGCCCCAAAGACTCTTAAGCACTGCAGACTCACAACAATTACAAAGAAAAAGAAAAAAAAATAGTTGTATAAACCATACCATAACTGTCTTTCACGGGATCATTTTGTTCTGTAAATGCTGAAACATTAGTTGTTCCACTTGGAAGAAAGAGAAAATCATCCATTCTATCATCATGGTGTACCTTAAAGGGATCTGAAACAGAACAGAGAAGAATCCAAGCTCATTCCCAGTGACAACTAGAAAGTTGAACATTCCTACTATGCAATGAACTGATTAATTGCATATGTGACGTAAGTAGTACATTGAGATGTGAGTACTAGGCAATCAATATATTCATTACTCACTAATTTGTATGTTACATAGTTACAGCTTTGTATTATCTAATATCTAAATCAAAGAGCCAAAATACATATCAAACTCAAAGAACTAATACTTAATCTAAAATAATACTAAGAGTTAATTACAGACTTAATTATAGCTCCAAAGTATATTTCAGTAAACATTCATTTCAGGTTATTAAAAGAAGATAGCTAGAACAAGTGAAAAAGGGCTGTCTGAGTAAGAAAAGGTGAATAGCCCCTTGAGGTAAGAAATATTAAACTCCAGTGTCAGGAGTTAGCATGAGTATAGACACTCAAAACATCTGCAAGGGGCCAGAGAGATAACTCAACCTTAAGCACATATCTGCATGTGGGAGGCCTGGGTTCCATACTTGACACCATGTGGTACTCTTAAGTACTGCATGTCTGACCCCCTTAGCACAGAGTTAGGAGTTATCCGTGAGCACTACCAGGTTATGGCCAAAAAAACAAAAATCAGCTAAACTTGTTGTCTTCTAACATGGGGGGGAAGCTAGGGTACAGGATATGGCTCTACGTCAGTATGTGCAAGGTCAGTGAGAGGTCAATCCCTCAGACTTGGTCTTCCTCTGTGTCTCTGGACATAGTCTAGTCAGGTTAACCAAGAAATCTGTGCGTAGGACGTGACCTCACAATTTAGTATAATCTGAATTACCTTTAAGATTAGTCAAAACAACCGTAGAGGGTCATCAGTTCTTTGACACTGCCACTCCCATTCCTCCCTTCTCCACCAAAAAAAGAAAAACCAACCCTGCATTTAGAATTAGTTCCTTGGTGATGCTGCAATGACTCATTCTCTTATGGCACTTCAATTGTCAGAAGCAAATGCAAAGTCCAAACCTTAACAGAATGATCATTCTTGGTTCTGAGGTAGCTAAATCTGCCGTAAGGGACTTCTGGATTAGGAGAGATCATGCCATGAGAAACGTAAATAGCAGAAGGCAAACTGAGAAACCACTGGGAATGGAGGAAGTGCCTTATGCTGCTTCTTTAGAACATCAGGGGATTTGAAATTTGAGGAAGGCTATAAACATTCATTCTCCAGTCTTGACTTGGTTCAGGGTAGCTGCTGTTCATTTTGCCTTTCACACTTCCACTGAAGGAAAATGCTTAAAGAATTAGTGAGACTGTTATACACTTTTCACATTTAGAGTAAGAGATTGCTAAATCACATTTGAAAATAGAAGATTTTTTACAAAGTTCATTACACTTTATTTACTGGTTGTCTATAGCATGACATGTGTGCTCTTGAAAAACCAAAACTTATGAGGGGGCCACAAAAGATGGTGCTCAATGGGCTGAGCATTTGCTTTGCATGCAAAAAGGCTGGGTTTGATTTCCAGCACCACATGGTCCCCAAAACACTGCCAATGAGTGATCTGGGGGCACAAAGCTGTACTAAGTACCTGGTGTGGCCCAAAGAAAAACAAAAGCAAAAACCTAGAACATGGGTTGGGGATGTAGCAGAGTGGTAGAGTATTTTCCCTGTATGTGTGAGGCCCTGGGTTCCATTTCCAAGACCTTCGTGCTTCCCTCGCTCTACCCCCCCATTCAAGTCTCATACCCACAGCACTGTAACACCTAGTTTACATCTGGTGGCATCCTGGAAAGAGTGGCATGCCCCCCGCCCCCCAAAAAAAAGCACAAGTATAAGGTAGAGTTTAGGCTTTTTTTCCGAATGGGAGGGGAGTCCAAGATGGTGCTCAAGGGCCTTGACAGCTGCACCTGGCAATGTTCAGGGGACCATGTGGCGGCAGGAATCAAACTCAGGTTGAGCACATTTCAGGCATGCACCCTAACTGCTTTACTGTCTTCTGGCCACAGGAGTGAGACATGTAGAAGAGAGACACAGTTTAGTTAAAGTCAACAAAGGCCTTTGGTTAAATACATAATATAAAAAGATAGTATCAGTATATATTTATACATCATAGCTATAAATATATAAATATAAGACATAGTACTAAAATAATGTAATTTACATATTTAATATATGCTTATATGAAATTTATATATTTATGTAAATATATGTATTTTAAAAACTAAAAAAAAATGGGTAGGGACCCTTTCTCTGTTTACATTCTTTTCTTTGGTGTTCTTATCCTATCTTACAATTAAAAATTCTACATGGGACTAGAGAAATAGTATGGGGTTAAGGCACTTTGCATCCTTGTATCCTGCTAAAATTGGTTTGAATTCCAGGTACCACGCATGGTCTTCTGAGCACCAGCAGGGGCCACTCCTGAGCACAGAGACAAGAATAACCCGTGTTGTTGAGTATAGCCCAACTGCCCTCCCTTCCACTCCCCTGCTCTACAATAAAATAAAAATCCCATCAAGATCTAAAAGGGCCCGGGTGGGGGGGGGGCTGGAGCGTTATCACAGCGGGTAGGGCGTTTGCCTTGCACATAACCGAACCGGGTTCGATCCCCGGCATCCCATGTGGTCCCCTGAGCACTGCCAGGATTAATTCCTGAGTGCAAAGCCAGGAGTTACCCCTGAGCATTGCTGGGTGTGACCCAAAAAGAAAAAAAAAAAAGATCTTAAAGGGGTTTTCTATTAAGCGCCATCACTGGAAATCCTTTGTATTGTGGCTTGCTTAAATTACATAACTTTGGCGAGATCTGTGAGACAGTACTCAAATATGAAGCATCAACATTTTTTTCAACTGGTGCTGATCTGTACCTTTCTAAATTCTACAAGTGCAAAGAGAATGAACCGAGGGTTGGAGCAATAGTACAGTGGGTAGGGTGTTACCTTGCCTAACTGACCTGGATTTGATTCCCAGCATCCCATACGATCCCCTGAGCACTGCCAGGATTAACTCCTGAGTGCAAAGCCTATGGAGAAACCCTATGGAATACAGCAAGTAGGGCATCTGCCTTGCGTGTAGTCAAGTTGGAGTGATATCTGAGCACAGAGCCAAGAGTAAATCTTGAGCATTGCTGGGTATGCCCCAAAAACAAAATAAATAAAATTCCAATGATTATAAGCGGAGAGTTTCTAAGAATTGTTATGTCTCTTTTGAAGCACAGATCAAAGAAGCTCCACAAAAAGAATCATATGGACTGACAAACTGGCTTAAGTAGAATTTGTTGATGGGCCTTTTCTTTCCTTTCCTCCCATATTGGATGTTGAGGACTGAACCCAGGTTGGCTTCACCCTACCCACTGTATTATCTCTCCAGCCCCAAATACTCCTTCCTTCCTTTTTCAGTTTTTGGACCAACCCTGGCTATGCCTGGGCCTTACTCCTGGCTCTATGCTCAGGGATTACTCCTGGTGGAGTTTGAGGAATGATACAGGGTGTCAGGGATCCAACCTGGGTTGACCACATGCAAAGCAATTGCCCTATCCACCATACTATCTCTACAGTCTTCCAAATACACATTTCTTTAAGGGTGATTTAAGTGGCAAATAAACACATAAAGATATAATAAGAGAAACTGGAGAGATAGGATAGGGAAGTAAGGCGCTTGCCTTACATGTAGGTCCCTTGAGCACAACCATGAGTAATTCTTGAGGACAGAGCCAGAAGTAACTCCTGAGCATCACTGATATGGTCCAAAAATAAAGAAACAAAAGATAGCATGAACAGTCTCTAAGTAAATAAAAATTAAAGTCAGAATGAGATACCTACTGTGTTGGTTATAATTGAAAATAAGAGGAAAAGCAATACAAGAGCTGTCAATGCAGTGGAAGAACTGTAAACCTCATACATTACTGGCAGAAAACGTAAAACAATACAGTTGCTTGGCAAATCAGCTTGGCCGATCTGATTCAACAATTCTCATCTTTTCTTTTTCTGGCCAGGAGGGCGATAACTGTCATCTCAATACAATAAACATATCTACTCAACAACCAATTGAAAACATATCTACTCAACTCAATTTAAAATATCATTATTCATAATAGTGAAGAGAAAACAACCAATGAGCAGGTAAACAAAATGTGGTAATCCAACAATGAGTATTATGTATCTTTATGAAAGAATGAAATACTTAGTGATGAGTGAAATACTTATTGATGGGCTGGAGCGACAGCACAGCGGTAGGGCGTTTGCCTTACAAGCGGCCAACATGGCCGACCCGAGTTCGCTTCCTCCGCCCCTCTTGGAGAGCCTGGCAAGCTACCGAGAGTATCTCGCCCGCATGGCAGAGCCTGGCAAGCTACCCGTGACGTATTCAATATGCTAAACACAGTAACAACAGGTCTCATGATGGAGACATTACTGGGCCCGCTCGAGCAAATCAATGAAAAACGGGAGGACCATGCTTCTTCTAGTGATGTCACAAATCCAGTTACAAGACTATATGCTATCTGATTATATTCATATGAAACCACAAAATAAGTAAATTCACTGAGAAAAAAATAGATGGTGAGCCAGAGTGATAGTACAGTGGATAGGGCATTTGATTTGTTGACCCAAGTTCGATTCCCAGAATCTCATATAGTCCCCAAATCACCGCCAGGAGTAATTCCTGAGCATAGAGCCAGGAGTAATCCCTGAGCATCACTGTGTGTGGTCCAAGAGCCGTTTCCCCTCCCCACAGGAAGAAAAAAAAAAAAGTAGATGGTGATTGCACAGGATCAGGTGGATAACTCCTTATCTATCTGATCACTCCTCGGAGGGCAGTATCTAAAGAGAATAGGATTTCTCTTGTTTGTTTTGTTTTGGGGCACCGCCCAACAATGATCAGTGTTTACTTGACTCAGGAATTACTCTTGGCTTGACTGTTATGAGGCCCTCCTACAATTCATTCCTCCTACCACTTCCAGCTCTAGGAACGTTCTGCTTCCCAACTCTGAATCAGTTTGCATTAATGCAAATGATAATTAAATTATATGATGTAATTAAAAATTATAACAAAATGATAACTAAGTTATCAATTATGAGTTTTCTCTTCTATCAAATAAAAGCTGTATAGGTATATTAAGGCTCTCACACTATGCCTGCCACGAAATAAGGATGCAACAAATAGTACTACTGTTATTACAACAAATCTTTTCATTAGAATTAAGATACTAATTATTAGTCTTCAAATTCTATAAGTTTTAATTAATATGTTCAAAATAATTTTTGAATGGGAGAGAACTAGAAGGGTGAATGTGCCTCAAAAGAGATCTACTGAAAGGAAAAAGGGTCAAATAAATGTTCAGGAAAATAATCATACTTTGGCAATAAGCTGTATTTACAAGCTATATTTAGATTCAATGTTTTATCTAAATGGTAGTTGTGACTTTTCAGTTTTATGTAACAGTTCACATTCTGGAATTATAAGCGAATCTACACTTACCAGTTTCAACAGGATTCACCACTTGCTCAGATTCAAAGCCAAAATTTGTATTTTCGGGCCAGCTCTGGTTGTTCTGATAGCCCTGATAGGCCATTTTCTCTCCCAAGAATTCAGCTGGAAACCCTTAAAATAGAAACATGCGATTAAAGTTACACAAGGTAACATTGCTTTCTTCTCCATTAGATTAGAATAACAGTTTCTACACAGTATTAGAGGCAATACAATACAATTATACCTAGGGTACCTTCAGTAACTTAAAAAACATTCTTAAAATGTTTTTAAGAATGTTTTTTAATAAAAGAAATAAAAGTATAGAAGTATTAGTTTATATGGGTAAAAGTACTGCAAGGGACGGTCTGGTTAAAAACACATGAAAGACTTTTATTCACAAAAGAATAGTATAAAATTGTAGTTTAAAATAGTATAAAATTGGATAGATTTGTCAAAAACACTCAAGATATATGAATTTCAATGAAGCCAGATCTAAGTAAATCGAGAGATGAACTGTTCAGTTCCAAAAAAGGAAAGACTTAGTGATATCTCAAGGTAAAGCTCCTGTCTCAGAAGCTGAGACTTGACTTTCTTATCTATCACTTCCCCACATGCATCAAATACAATTCTAGCACCACTACCAAGATCTGTTTTTGGAGGCATCAACACAAAGTGTATGTGGGCACTGAAACTCAAGTGTGTGACCTGGGAGCAGCAGGTACCTGGGAGCAGGTACACAGTTCAGCCTTGCAGGGTGAAGGGGACGGAGAGTGAGTGAGCATGAAGGAGTGAGGAAGGGAAGATGGAAGGATGGATGGGATGGACAGAGGCACTCACTGATCAGGTTGGAGAGATAGGAGATAGGGGCTGACACATGGCAAACTGGGTTCAATCCCTGGCAACCCACCAGGTGTCATTCCTGAACACAGAACCAGGAGCACAGTTGGGTGTGGCCTCCAAACAGTTGTTGTTTGTTTTGGGTTAAACTCCACAGTGGTTGGGGGCTTGCACCCAGGGATCACTTCTGACAGGGTTCAGGGAACCATATGAGGTGTTAGGGGGTTGAAGCTGGGTCAGTGCATGCATGCAAGTGCCCTGTCCACTGTACTATCTTTCTCCACTCCTCCTACCTTTTTGGCAACAGAATTTTTTATTTTATTTTATTCTTTTTTAAATTTTTATTTATTTATTTTTGCTTTTTGGGTGACACCGGGCGATGCACAGGGGTTACTCCTGGCTCTGCACTCAGGAGTTACTCCTGGCAGTGCTCAGAGGACCATATGGGATGCTGGGAATCAAACACGGGGTCAGCTGCGTGCAAGGCAAACACCCTACCCACTGTGCTATTTCTCCAGCCCCAACAGAATTTTTTAAAAGATCGACAATTTCATACCATAATTTACATAAAAATACAAAAAAAACCCAAAGGAGATAAAATAATTTTAAAGAAAAAGATTGTTACCTGATTTTAAACTTTACTGTAAATGTACTGGCATAAACCACATATTAGATAAATGGAACAGAATAGATTTCAATAATGGTATAGAAAGAATTAGACACTCAGATAAGAAAGCACAGCCTTATCTAAGATCAGGCAAATATTTTTAGACCTATCATCAAAACCAGATACATAATTTAAGAAATAATATAAAAAATTTTAACTTTTAATTTTCAAAGACACCGTTAAGAAAATAGAGAAGTCATTGACTCGAGACTATAACTGCAAACTGAGAAAGGAAAGGGGCCAGAGCGATAGTATGGGGAGGGAAGCGTAAATTTACCCCTTTTTCCCATTACCTCTTTGATCAGATCTTTATTCATAAAAACATCCTTTAAAACAGCACCCCTTTAAAGAAACCAATTTGATCTCAAACACCGCAATTGGTCTACCAAGCATGGCCAGGATGAGCCCTGAACTTGCTGTCAGGAGAATCCTCTGAGAACCATTGGGTATGGCCCAAAACAAACAAACAAACAAACAACAACAAAACAGAAGAAAAATGTCTGCTGGGGTGGTAGAGGTAGTAAGGAGTAAAGGTATTTGCCCTGCTTCTTATTTCAGTTGCAATCCCAGGCACCAGTTATGCCAGAGGTTACTTCTGACGCAGAACCACAAAGAGTCCTGAGCTACCAATTGTGGCCACAGTGGTTGCTCCCACATGTTTTTTTTTTGAGGGGGGCTACATTCATGGTGTAATGTTTTGGGGCTACTCCTGGCGGTGCTCGAGAGCCATGAGGTGCTGGGGCTCACACAAAACATGCTCCAGCCCTTTGAGCTATCTCCCCAGCCCCTTAAAAATGTTTTAAATCGGGGGTATGGTGCCGCCAGCAGGTCAATCTGTACCTGTGAGGCGAGTGCATCAACAGCCTGATGGCGCCTTCAGACTTCCAGATACCCCAAAATTGCTGCTGTGCCTTTGGCCAGACCCCAAAAACTTGGGGCAAAGTTTACCAAGAAAGTCAACGGCCAAAAGTTAGGGTGTAAGTTAGGTATGTGGGAGAAACCCACAAACCACCTCCGGCTCAGCTATATAATTGGAGGCATGGCCTCTCTGGTTCCTGATCGAACTGCTTAACGGCTGTGATCCCAGAGACTCAGAAACAAATCTCGAAACCCAAAGGCTTTTGGCAGAAATGCGTCTGGTCCCTGCAGTAGGTTACCAGTGCTGGGCCACCCCAGGTGGGAATAGGTTTCGTGCCTTGGCCTGTTCCCCCTGGTGGCCCGGTGGCCATCATCCTCGAGCGGCCACTGGACAGTCAGGTTTGGGCCCACAGTGAGGAGGCACACGGGGTCTCAAGGGAAGGGGTGGAGCTGGCCCTATCTTCCCCATTCCAACAAGACCCGGAGTCACCGCCCATGAATGGCCTTTCTAGCTCCTGATCAAGCTGCTTAATGGCCATGATCCCAGAGACTCGGAAACAAATCTCGAAACCCAGAGGCTTTTGGCAGAAATTCATCTGGACCCCACAGTAGGTTACTGTCGCTGGGCCACCGCAGGGGGGAAAGGGTGTTGTCCCTCCTCTGCCTGCTCCCCCTAGGCAGCTTGGTGGCCACCATCCTCCGGAGGCCATTGGGCAGTCAGGTTTGAGCCCTCAGTGTTGAGACACATGGGGCCTCGCGGGATGAGGGTGGAGCCGGCCCTTTCCTCTCCACCCCAACGAGACCCCAAGTCGTTGCCCATGAATGGCCTTTCTGGCTCCTGCTCAAGCTGCTTAACAGCCACGATCCCAGAGACTTAGGAACAAATCTCGGAGCCCAGCAGGTTTTGGCAGAAATCCTTCCAGATTTAAGGGTTAAAATTTCGGAATTTCAAAATTGCGCGGCCACTACTGCAGCCAGGCAACATCATATGTTATTTATAACCAGCAATAGAAAAAAAATTGTCTACTGTTACCTTTTCAGCAGATCTGAGTGTTGGGGTAAAATCCCAAATAATAATGGTGGGTCTGGTGTCAAAATATTAAATGTAATCAAAGTAGAGAGAGAGTAATGTGGAAATCATCTGCTCCACAGGTAGGGGGAGGGTGTGGAATGAGGGTAAGGTAAAGGTAAAGGTCCTCCCGTTGTTCATTGATTTGCTCGAGCGGGCCCAGTAACATCTCCATTGGAGATTTTGTTGTTACTGTGTTTGGCATATTGAATGAGGGTATACTGGGGTTTTTGGTGGTGGAGAATGGGCACTGGTGAAGGTATGGGTGTTTTATTGTATAAAAATGAAAAAAAAAAAGTAAGGTGGAGTTCATACCCAATTCAATCAGCTAATCAGTGGCAGAATAAATAGTAGTACTCCTACATAAAAAAAGTTTTAAATCTTTTGAGTATTTTATGTTTATCACTTAAATGTTTATTATTTACACATTAATTTTGCCTCGCCAATACACTTTCTTTGAGGAATAAAGACCATGAATTTACCACTGTATTTCTTCTTAATTGCTAGCTCACTGCATGGCACAGAAGAGCATTCAACAAATAAGTTTCCATCAAAATAGCTACACGGGGGGCTGAAGAGATAGCACAGCAGGTAGGGCATTTGCCTTGCACGCGGCTGACCCGGGTTCAATTCCCAGCATCCCATATGGTCCCCTGAGCACCGCTAGGAGTAACTCCTGAGTGCAGAGCCAGGAGTAACCCCTTGCATCGCCAGGTGTGACCCCCCCCAAAAAAAAGGGGAAAAAAATAGCTACACGGTCACGCCAGTGATTATCCAGTGGGTAGAGTGCTTGCCTTGCACATCACCAACCTGGTTTTGATTCCTGGCATCCCATATCGTCCCCTAAGCAGCACCAGGAGTAATTCCTGAGTAGAGAGCCAGGAGTAACCCTTGAGCATCACTGGGTATGGCCCAAACCAGCAAACCCCCCCCCAAAAAAAAAGAAAATCCTGCAAGCTCATTATTTTGTGTTGCATGATTCATACTCTGCATGAATCTTTGTACTGTTTTGCTTTGGGGCCACACCCGGTGTACTCAGGGCTTACTCCTGGGCTCTCAGTGCTTGAAGACCCTGTAGAGAGCAAGGAATTTGAACCTGGATCGGCCACATGCAAGGCAAATACCCCTACCTAAGCTGTACTATTTCTCTGGCCCCAGTACACCCAACTTTTTGAAGAATGATTTATACTTAGTATGAAAGTAACTAGGAACTGTAGAACTTAACAGTCTATAATTTCTAAAATGTTAAAAGGCTGAGTGATTCTGTTTATATTTTTCATCCTTTGGTAAAATGCCATAGCTTTTATTAGAGAAGTGAGTATATTTTCTCCATATATGCTGGAGTAATACATCTGCTATTTTAAGAACATAGAATGCAGAAGGCATTTTTTATCTTCTCTACACGGAGGAGCTACAAGCATAATCTGGAGTACAGAAAGGTTCTGACCTGACCACAACACCCAAAAGGAGAGAGAGAACACAAGGGATTGCCCTGCCACAGAGGCAGGGTGGGATGGGAGGGATGGGGGTGGGAGGGATATTATCCATGGTGGTGGAAAATGGGCACTGGTGGAGGGATGGGTTTTTGATCATTGTGTAATCGAAACCCAAGCACAAAAAATTGTAAATCTACAACTGTACCTTATGATGTTTCACAAAAAAAAAAAAAAAGTTCTGACCTAATGTCATGTTTTAGGGAAA